ATTACCATTCAAGTGAACTACATTTACAATCGTACTGCTTATTGAACATCTGATGTGAGATTGTGTGTAATAAGCTTTCTAAAATGTTCTGTAGTAAAAAATGGAGTTCATTACAGAGATCATTGTTGAGATGCAGGTGCAGGTTTCAGATGAATAAAGCCACTTCATCTTTGTCAGTAGGTCAATAATAAATTTACTACACAAATGCTGAATGAGGTTGCTACAAAACCTAATAACTTTACAGACATACTAACTGAGAATTTTTTTTTTGTTAGATAGAAAAACAGTTTAAATGCTTCTGTGATATATACTGTATACTTGTATCTGCTGCTGTGTTGAAGTTATCAAGCCCAGATGGAGAAGATCACTAGCTCAGCAAGATCGATAATACATTGATTGGTTGAAATCCTTCTCCTTTGTCTTCACAGCCTCTTTCAACAGTGTGGATTCCTCATCCTACAGTGAGTGTGATCACATCAACACTAGTTCTTTAGTACAATAGGGATTTCCCATGGCACTGGACTCTCCCTTTTTATTAAATTAAACCTTAAGTCACTAGTACCGTGTAACTGGTTATTTAGGTAACACTTTCTAAGCATTTCTCGAAATTATTAAATCTGCCAAGTGACCTACTTAGAAAACAATTTTGCGTTCTTACACATGTTACCCTTTAAGGATAACATCATATTTTTGGTCATGAAAGAGCAGTTGCACAATCATTTGCTTGGTAAATCAAAAACATCCCACATTGCATAAGAATCTAATACAAGCTGGGCAATGAATGTCCAAAAGTGAATGAATTTCCATTTAGGGAATGTTCCCAGGAACTTTGACTCAAAACAGCAAATAAACTGGAAGAAAACATTTTCCACAATGATAAAGGATCTCTGTCCTCATCAGCTGGCTAAAAATACAGCATTGACTACCAGCACAGGAATAGAAAACAAACATTTCACCGTTTGCGACTGTCACTTTTGGCGACATGAACAACAGCAATTGATTGTGATGGAACACAATTTCAATGGTATGCAAATTAGCTATGTGGGAATGCAGTGATTTGCCAACTGATACAGCAACCAATCAAAAAATGGCTTCCAGCAACCAACAGTATGAACTTGTCAACTTGAAGCTATTTAATCGCTGTCTGTGTCAATGGGTCCTAGTGATTTAGTGTAGATCAGTTTGTTTCCTACAAACATTTGCGGTCAAGTTGATCTGACCTAAAGAGTGAGGTTTGCATTAGTGCTGAATTGTTATGTGAAGGGAGAAACACATACGGACAGTTGGACCACAAACACTATATTCAGCATGTCAACGCAAAGTAAGTCCACAAAAGTCCACAAGCCCTACAGGGCAAATATCTTCTCACCTCTTTCCAAACATCACACAAACTCACGATGTTTTGTTGTCATGTTGGAAACATGACAACAAAAAAAAACTCATTCATTCATTCATTCAAACAGGACAAATTTATTTTTGCCAAGAAGATAAATATGGAACCACAAAGCAAAAGTTTTCAAACAGGAAGGAACTTCAGCATATTTGTATGATGGCTTGGCTTCTACAGTCTAAGCTAAATTGGAGGGGGGTGGGATAGGTGGACAGCCCTTTGTTTCTAGACGGGTGTCTGGCGTATCCACTTAACACCAGTTCCTGTCAGAGCAAACACGGAGAGCAGCAGCCTTCTGCAGATGGAGCACAGCTTGGACTAGCGTTTGTCTAATGAGTGATCACTCACAGGCCTGTCAAATATGCCATCTGGAGGAGGACCTCTGGTCTGCTGTGAAATATGGAGTTTGTTGACACTCCAAGTTGAATCAGTCCTTTAGTGCATATGTTTGGTGATGACAGTCATAAACATAAATGTAGACAGATGTCAGTGATATAGTTATTAGAAAATACATGGGAATTTAGTCTTGGTATGTTTTATGGTTTGGAGTACAGTGGTGTACAATTACTCAATTGGAAAGATGCATTCCTTCAAGCAACATTACATTTCTGAAGAATTTGTGCCACAATAAAGATATTAACTCAAATCATGTGCTTCTCCAGTGACAAAGAGCTCACAAAACAGACTGTTCATTTTTTTAACAGCCTTATGTTGAAAGATGTCCTAAAATAGGGAAAAGCTCCCAGAATCTCCAGGGTACACAAAAAGGGTAAAAATGTCTTGTTAATTGACTGATCCGCATCTAAGCAATGTGGGGTAAGATGTTGTCTTCACATTTAATGTTCCTCTTGATCATATGTGTCACTAAAACTCACATGTTGGGTTTCCATGTTTTATGGGGACATTCCATTATTATAGGTGAAAGCCAGCCAATGAGATTGCCATTTGTTGCGTATTAGTTCTGCCTACTGCCGGAGAAACCAGCAGTATCTTATGGTTGTTGTTAAAAGCTGAATAATTCCAAATGAACTCTGGAATTTTGACAGGAAAATACAACAAAGAATATCGTTTACATGTAGCACGTCAATTCCATACAATGTGACTCTCTCGCTTTCTCTCTTTCTTTGCGTGTGTGTGAGAAACAGTGCTCCCAGCACACAACAGCAAGTCGTGCGCCTTCACACTAGAGTTTACGGTACGTCAAATACAGGTACACTGCGCATCCATCGAGATTAATTGAAAAATAGCACAGATCGCTTGACGGAGAGCGAAACTCTGAAACTCAGCCAGAGTGTTCGGCGAGTGAAAATATATCTAGGCTAAACTTATACTTAGCTTCCAACTCACACACTGGCGAGTAAAATCTAAGAATTTATTAGCCAATGCCTAAAGTGAGACATCATTTAGTCGCACAGAGTGAAGATTTAGTCGCATATGCGAGTGATTTACTCACAATGTAGAGGGTTGAGATGGATGGCATGGAGATGATTATTATGGAGAGTTACCATCTGTAATAAAATGCCATCAGTTTAACTTTATAAACTATCTACAAATCTACAATGCATCTACATCTACAAATGACAGCTTCCACAGTAAATACAGGATGGCTGATTTTCATTTCCATCTTTGCAGATGCTTTCTTTGCCAAAGCAGCCTAAAAGACACAAAGGCCAAAAATAAAAGTCAAACCACAAATCTTCATCAACATAGAATTTTGCTTATTTGGCATTTGAGGCTTGGCTTTCAGGAGTGAACAGAGCATCCCTGTCAGTGGGACCTTTAACTTTGAGCACCACGTATGTGTGTGGAATTTTAATGCACTGAGTTTTAATGCAAATCAGTTCCCCACAAAGAACGGCTCCCAGCCATGACAGAGAAATAATAGATGTCGCTTCAGTATAAGACAATCACCTCCCTGCTGTTGACAGTGTCACAATGGCTTTGTGCACCAACAGCCCTCCACCAGCCAAACAACGCTGTCAACATGATGAGTTCACTGCATTTCCACTCAGTTCATTTTTGTGTACACTCTTAAAAATAAAGGTGCTTCACGATGCCATAGAAGAACCTTTCTGTCTAAATGGTTCCATAAAGAACCTTTAACATCTGAAGAACCTTTCTGTTTCACAAAAGGTTCTTTGGGGTGAAAGAAGGTTCTTCAGATTATAAAAAGCTAAGAAAGAGATGGTTCTTTAAAGAATCTTTGACTGAATGGTTCTTTGTGGAACCAAAAATGGTTCTTCTATGGCATCGCTGTGAAGAACCTTTTGAAGCACCTTTATTTTTAAGAGTGTAGCATTTCCTTTTTAATGAAGCTATCTGCTGGATATGGTGCATGAAAAGTGCACTGTGAGGAAGAGGCAAAAATGACTTGCAGGGACTGGATTAATGTCGTATTGATTGATGAATTTACAAACCAATTAATATGTATAGTAAACTCGCTTCCCTGAATTGATCAAATCCCATCTACACAGATAAAATTCAAAGAGGTACAGATAGTGATTATCATAGCTGTGAAGAGAAAGACATTCCTAAGCACAAAGAGAAGATAACGCACAATACAAGAAATGCCTAATTTGCAAATTATTATTCACAATGTTTTTCCATACAATGTGACAATGTCTGTCACACTAAAAATGATGACATAAAAACACCATAAAAATGGCTCATATGAGGCTTCTGAAGTAATATGTTATCAAGCTGTTATTCACAGAAAATGTTCCCTTCTGCCAAAGCTCTGAATTCTTATCTGAATTTGCATTCAGATTTTTTTTTAAAAAAGCACTTTTGACCTTCTTTACACCAAATACCATTGTAGCCAAACGTGATAACCAAGTTTGAATATACAGCACGGAAAATGAAATTTGCTGCAGAGAACTGGAAATATATTCAGTGAATAATAAGCTAAATTTGAGTTCACACAGAGCCATAGAATGATTTCAGAAGACTTTGAATCTATTGCACAAGTTATATGGACAATATTTATAGTTCTTTTTGAATGGCAAAGAGCAGTGTAAAGATTCTTCAAAACCTAACATTTTGTGTTAATGTGCAGTCACATTTACCGTTATTCAATTGATTTTGAGGGCAAAATCCAGTCATTTCATTAGGAATTTTTCATTAGGGTGAAAGATTTCACTATGCAGATTTCAAAACAGGTTCAAGTTGCTTTCATGGATTTTAGCCACTGACCAACAGAAAGCTGCTTGGTTTGAAAGTACTTGGTTTGTACATTACTACACAACTGACAATAGACAAAACTGCATATGAAATTCTACAGAAATGTATGTGTTATTGTGATTGTACTTAGGAAGTGAAAATAATGCTAGATACTGTTTGCAGTAAGTATGATTAGCAAATAGTAACATTTTATTTACACTAAGTTCAAATGATATCACATGCTCTTCAAACAAAGTAAACATAAGTAATATTCTCTGTAAAGGTAAAATATCTATAGTGTGTGGAGTAAGTGAAAATAACCTTCGCAAACAAAGTTGGCTAGTTGAAATTAGTGTAAATAGTTAAAAAAGAATGAGGGTCATTTTTAGTTGAACTGTCCCTTTAAGAACACACAGATGCTCTGTTTATGTTAATAAGCAAAAGCACCTACCATGAGTTCTTTGATGTAGTTCAGGATTCAGGTCAAAAGATGCTGTGCCTCTGCTCTATCTTTCCGTCTGTTCTTATTAGCTGTGAAAAGAAACATAACCAGAGGTCACGGCACATATTTAATCATGCCAAACAAACAGCAAAGCAAATTCATATCCATAAAAGCACAATAAAACATGCAAGATGGAGGAAAAACAGCACTCCTCCACACTGAAAACTCAGGGGCAGGTAGTAAGTACGAATCTTGGAGTGCGACAAAATTGAGGATTCATTATTGATGACATTCCCTGTGGTGCACTATGAAACAGCATGTGCGTGAATTTTTCACTTTGCAGCTCGAGTAAAGAAATGAACTGGGACAGAATGAGCATCACACTAGCTTTAATCAATCTAAACCCACGACTGAAGCGGGTGAAATATTAATGGCTGGCATTACTTATCAGATCCGTTGCTTGGTTAATTGCTCTTTATTGTTCGACACCAAACTGATTGCATTTTGCCTGTTATGCTCGGTGCTACTAATCTTGATTAGTGTAGGAGGTCATGAATAATTTATTAGAAACAGCATTCCAGGCTAATTACCTGTAGCCGATTTTCATTGTCGGAGAGGATCACCAACCGTGTGCAGCTAACAACCCTAAATGCTTTAACTTTCAGCTATTCATATTGTTTTGCCACAAGTGTCTCCCAGTTCAATACTCTACTAGCCAATTAAAATTGAGATGTTCCTGGCACACTCTTAAAAATAAAGGGTCTTTACTTTTCTATGAAGAACCTTTAACATCCAAGGAACCGTTCCATTGCACAAAAAAAAATGTTATAGTAGAAAAGGGCTCTTTAGAATATTCTTCACACTAAGAAAAAAATGGTTCTTTTAAAAACTGTACATTGAAAGGTTCTTTGGGGAACCCCAAATTGTTCTTCTATGGCATCGCTGTGAAAACCCCTTTTGAAACCTTTATTTTTAAGAGTGTGGCCACAAAAGCATTATTCATGATAGCACTGAAAGCTTTGTGAAAACTGCAGCAGATTTTTCCTAAATAGTGATAGATTCATGTGGGGAGAATGATAACATAAAAGAGGTATAATAAAATCTAGTATGCTCATATTTTAACTCAAGTAAACACAATGAACCCATTTCTTGAGAAGTGTTTTGGAGACAAAGTCTGTGTTTCAACTTTGACCTGGCAGACCAAAATTCCCCTGTTCTCCAAGCACGCTACACTCCCTACAAAAATCCATGTACAGAATATCATTAGTATATACAACAGTTGTTTCTATAGCGACACACAAGAGGAGTAACTAAAGCTGCAAAAGAGTACAACAGTCCATTTCCAGGAAATTTAAGAGTTTTCCAGTGAAATATAATAACCACAATCGTGATTCGTGAAGCAAGATTGCATTTACAAAGACAGCACAGCAATAAGAAAAAAACTAAAAGAAATTAGTACTTTTATTCTTTTATCTTTTGAACTATCAATCAAACCAACCTGTATCACAGTTTCCACAAACATTAAGTAGCAAAACTGTTGTCAACATTGATAACAGCAAGAAATGTATCTTCAGCACCAAATTGGCATATTTCTGAAGGACATGATCACTGGGACAATGGGTTAATGGCTCCTGAAAATTTGCCATCACAGGAATAAATTACATTTTAAAATACATTAATGTTGAAAACACTTTACAATATTCAAATAAATGCATTCTTGCTGAGCACAAGATACAAAAACATCTAAAGAATCTGCACCAACCCCAAACATTCAAACAAATCAGACACTCAGCACTCTCAATCAACTTACATATTTCTATGTATTTGAATATTTTGTAATACACTTCTAATGTATCATCTTATATACTTACTATATCTTTTTTATTTTTTTAATCTATGAAAAAATGAATGGGAAAAAATACTTCAAAAATACATACAAATTGCATCTACAGTACTCTCGAGGCTTCCTTTACTCAACCCTCTTTTACAAACCTCTTTCACTCCCAAATCAATGGCATTCAATGGCATTTAAGATCGACCACAGTGTATACTGATTGGTCATTCCCTGGTAAATTGATTGTTTCTTCTGACCTTACAGTCTGAGGCGACAGTGTGCTCTTTAATTGTGTTCTCTACACTCACAAACATTGTATCCTCCATCTAGAATCAACAAGGGGTTTGAACAAAAGATCTCAAAGGGCATCTGCATTATGTTTATCTGCCTCCATGCTAATGGTGCCTTTTCAGTCTGCGGTACGTTTGAACAATGCAGGATGACTTAAAGTTCAATGCTAATAGAGGGTGGGCAATAAAACATGTGCTCTCACTGCCCTATACCTCTTCCCCTCTCTGTTTATGATCATGCTACGCTATTCACATATACGATGAGTGACACATCCTACAGGACATCTGTCCCGCTGGAAGGATGTGATGGCCAGGCTTGCCAACTGCCTAGTCATTCGAAGCATATGCCACTTTATCTCATTCTTCCTCTAATAGATTACAGTATTCTAATAAATTACAATATTATCAATATTACTGGCATATTGTACTACCGTTCAAATGTTTGGGGTTGGTTAGATTTTTAATGTTTTGAAAGAAGTCTCACAAAGGCTGCATTTATTAAATTAATAATGCAGTAAAAATGTTAAATAACACAGATTCTTCTCAGAAGCACCCATTGTACTTATAAAAGAACCTTAAAAACACCTGGGGAGTCAATGACAAAAACTATTATAAGTGTTAATTGCTTATTGGTCTATGGAAAGCTGAAACGGTCAAAAAACAAATTGATTATTTTGGCCAGGCTTGAGGCGGAGACTAAAGGGGTCTTTTTAGGTTTAGCTCCAGTAATAATATTGAAAGATTGAATTCATAAACAATGACACACCGCAGATGTAATGTTTCAACATTAATGTATCATAACGATAACGTATCATATTGCAATATTTTTTCAAAGGATAGGCATTCGCAGATATCTGGACTGAGCCCCAAATACTTCCTGACACTCGATATCGTCTCTGAATTATATTGATAAAACATCAGGTATGAACTCGGCACATATTTAAGCAACTTCTCTGCTTCAGACACTTGATCGATACATTTGATTGAAACGTGGCAGGATTTGCTTCGTCCAGGTTTCCTCTGACATTATGGCCGGTGTCTGACAGGGGCTTTAAGTGCAATCCCTTGAGGTATGTTTTGAAAGAAGTCTCACAAAGGCTGCATTTATTAAATTAATAATGCAGTAAAAATGTTAAATAACACAGATTCTTCTCAGAAGCACCCATTGTACTTATAAAGAACCTTAAAAACACCTGGGGAGTCGATGACAAAAACTATTATAAGTGTTAATTGCTTATTGGTCTATGGAAAGCTGAAACGGTCAAAAAACAAATGGATTATTTTGGCCAGGCTTGAGGCGGAGACTAAAGGGGTCTTTTTAGGTTTAGCTCCAGTAATAATATTGAAAGATTGAATTCATAAACAATGACACACCGCAGATGTAATGTTTCAACATTAATGTATCATTACGATAACGTATCATATTGCAATATTTTTTCAAAGGATAGGCATTCGCAGATGTCTGGACTGAGCCCCAAATACTTCCTGACACTCGATATCGTCTCTGAATTATATTGATAAAACATCAGGTATGAACTCGGCACATATTTAAGCAACTTCTCTGCTTCAGACACTTGATCGATACATTTGATTGAAACGTGGCAGGATTTGCTTCGTCCAGGTTTCCTCTGACATTATGGCCGGTGTCTGACAGGGGCTTTAAGTGCAATCCCTTGAGGAAAAGGAGGCTGTCACAGCACTGAGAGAGTCATATGGTACAGCTCCTGGCACAACACTCTGTGCTGTGATAATGACCAGCTCTGTACACACTTACTTAGTGTTTTCTCTACGCAGTCGGTTCTTGTTTTTCATTATAACCTCCCTCTCCTTTTTCAGGCCCCAAGGCCGAATAGACCTCAGTCTCTGGGGAGAGACAAGGTTCAGGGCATCAAAACAAGCCTTTGAAGCGGAGCGATTAAACCTGTTGGAATGGGTCAAAAGGGCTTAAAGGTGTGGGGGAGTCAGCTTCTCCAATTAGGCACAAGAAAGGTTGTTAACATGCAAGCCAAGCAGTCCACGAACCTCTGTTTTCTCTCAGAAAGGGTTATGCAAACAACATGCATACAGGATAAATGACCTGATCTTGTCATAATGAGCTAATTATTGCAGAGAGGGGGCGGAGCTCCTCTCCGCGCTCACACCGTCCACGGCTTGCTCCCTCGTGGTGGGCACTGTCACCGGCTCTCGCACCTGGTCTGACGGGTTGGGCTCAACATCCGAGACGATCCTCTTCTCAGCCGCAGGGCTTCGCTCCGGCTCGTGGATCGCGGCGGGAAATGGCTCTCCATCATCGGTGGGCTCAGGTTTATGCTCCGTACCGCGGGGAGATGGTGGACTGGGCTCAGGGTCCTGAGTGGGGCTGGTGTTGTTGTCCGCGATGTCCACGGTCAGCTGGGACTTGCAGGACACCAGCACCCACTCGATGAAGGCGGCGAGGCTCTCTCGAGGACCATCCCCAGACAACTGTGCTCGTGTGGTGGCGTTTAGTCCGACTTGATAGAAGCCACAGAGGCAGTTGTCCGGTAGTGCGTGAGGTGGGCCAGGGACAGAAAGTCGTTGGGTGTGGTCCTCAAGAGAGCGTTCCTCCTGCTCCAGCTGGAGGATTTGGAATGCGGGGTAATCCATAGAAAAACAAAATAAAAACTGACAAAAATTGGAAAAAACAAACGAGGGGAAATACGCTGCTATACTTTACTTTGGGTCGGTTATTCTGTCACGGTCCAGGTGTGTGGAGGCAGGCAGGATGATGAGGACGACAAGGATTCACATAAGGAGATTTAATGTAGCGACAACAAGGCATATTCAGGTAGATGAGACTCACACACTCGGGGTAACATTCACAATAACCGACAAACTAGAACACAAGAGACAGGAACAGATATAGGGCAGTTAACGAGGGACAGACAGGTGAGCACCTAATAATTAGACGGGCTAAACCAACACAAGGGGAAGAAACCACAACAAACAGTCCACAGGGGTGTTACACATGTATGTTTGTGTATTTATATATACATAATAAATTTACACAGTACACACGCATATATTATCTAAACAAAAACTTTTATTTTGGATGCGATTAATCGTTTGACAGCACTAATATAAATCTCTCATCTTATCAATAGATAGTAACTTAGTTTAAAATGGTTTAAAATAACCATAAAACAATTGTTGCACTGTTACAAATTGAGCTATACGACTCATTTGCAGCATTAATTGTTATAAAAATTAATATCATGGCTGGATTAAAGATAAATCAAATATGGGGCAACCAGATTAGTAATTTCCCTATTTGCACTATTTAGTCCCTGCTAGATGTAAAAACTGTTGTGGGAAGCAACATTAAAAATAAATAAATAAATATAAAAAAAATGTTTGATTATTTGAGATCTGTTATTACAGCTATATGAGGAGAAGGATTTTGGCTTTCACAGTGGGCAGGGCACCTTACCATATATGGTAAAAAATTGTAAATGGTTGAGCATTGCATTATATGTAATTTTACTGTAAAATAATGTTGAATTTGGAAGTAAAAGTATGAACTGCCATATCATTTGCAGTGAAAGACTGTAAAAGGACATTTCCAGAAGTTCATATAAGACAGATCACATATATGATTATACT